CCACAATTAAGGACAATGTTTTAATTTAAATTTAATCTGGCGCATAACATTTTAAAATTCGCGCCTAATGTTTCTCTGGGCACGCTACACTGTCCTATGGGCAAAGCTGTACTGTACATGTACTCAAAATAATGTACTAAATAATTACTAAAATTTTTGTCTAGTGCAAACTATAGCATAATTATATTCAAATTAATCACTATCTTATAAGAATTCCAGCAATGTAAATTATATTCTCCCTGGTCACTTGTGACATTTTATAAACAAAAAGTCAATCTAAAGGACATAAATAAACAAATAAATACTTCACTAGACCTTTGGCGCAACTGTCAAATCTGTCACCCCCAATCTTCCTAGCCAGGGTTGGGTGGTTATAGGCTTACAGTTTTTATCTTATATATAATGTCCCAGACTAAAGTTAGGAGAATATAATTTGCATTGCTGGAATCCATGCAAGACAGCAAATAATTTGAATATAAACGTCATATATTTTGCACAAGAGATAAAAAATTTGCTCTTTGTACTAAAATTCTTAAATCAGAACTAAAATTTGTATGTCTAATGGGAACTATAGCATGTATATATTCAAACTAATCACTATCTTGTAAGAATTCCAGCAATGTTAATTATATTCTCCCACATCAGTTCAGTGACATTTTATAAGAGAAAAACTTAAAGTCACTCTTAAGGACAGATAAATAAATAAACACTAGACCTTGGCAACAACTGTCAAACATATCACCTCGCCTCCTCCCCGTCCTCCTCTTCTTCCCATCAGCTGATCGCTAGTAAACAGACCATTTCACATCCCATAATTATAGCTGTGTTGATTTATGAGTGTTTGTTTTAACATAATACTACAAAAACAATTTTTGTTTATTCTAGATGGGCTGAGGTGCATCTGGGTAGACTTAGTCTTTTAGTATTTTGTGTTTCTTTCAAGTACCAAACTAAATTATTCCATTGAAACAACGCTTCGATTTAGTGCGGCGGTTTGAAGCGACCTCTCTTGGAATGTATCTCATGTTAAATCGACGTTCTGCTGTATTCCTATATTCCCTTTATGTGTTTGCCCTTAGGACAATTATTTCTTTTACCTGTATTGTATATATGTGTGTGTGTCTACAAACACACATACAAATAAATAATAATGGGAAAATACTGTCTAAATAATCAGAAACAAATTTATTAAAAATGTGACATTCTACCCTCAAGTCTGTGCTTTATTAGTAAAGCAATAAAGCATGGACCTGAGGGTAGACTCACATTTTTAATAAATTTGTTTCTGATTATTGAATCTGCCAATTATTATTTATTTGTATATGTTTTGTGTGTGTTTGTCTACACACACACACACACATATTTACAATACGGTGGTCCCTCCATTAACGGGCACAATTGGTTCAATAGAGTTACTCGTTAATTGAAAATCTCATTAACTGAATCTATTATTTCAATGGGATATCGGGTAATTGGTTCCAATTCACAGAATTCCCTTAAAATTAATTAAAAAGTACAAACAAATACTGCATACTGGTAATAGAATTAACAAAACATTAAATATAAACAAAATACAGTACAATACTGTACAGTATACTGTACAATAATAAATAAATAAACAATAAAATATTTTAACACTTAATTTGAGGTATGTATGTAGAATTCCCATCAGCTTTATTTACATAGCAGCAGCACAAACAGCTGATTGTAGACACATTCGATGATGACATGCCATATTCTTTACAGAGTGCATTGGTTCTAATGCCTTCTCATTGTATTTCTTAATAATTTCTGCACTGTATATTATTAATGTTAACTAAATTTCAGAATGACCAATAATTTTAATGTAAAAATTATAAAATATTCTATAGCACAACTTTCTCAATGTTTACTCCACTGGAAACAAAGGTAAACATAGAACCGATGAGCACCAAAATATTTTTCTCATAATACTGTCGTTAATAGAATTTGTACTCGTTAACAGAACTGAAAGTTCTTACGGTAGCTGAAATCTCGTAGATTGATCCGCTCGTTAATGGAGGGACCACTGGACAGGTAAAGAAAATTAATAGTCTCCAGAACGAATGGCTCCCTGTCTCAGTTGCAAAAATGCCAGCAACTTTAAAACTACCCACAGACATTCTTGGGTACATCCAGGGTGTCATCCACAAATAATAGAGGACTGCAAAATAAGAATCCGCGAACTTGGGGGGGGGGGGCCCGCTGTATATATATAAATAAATATTTATCCCTCTCAAGGTCTTTTAATGCAGATTGCGCCACTAAAGCTCCCATGCTAGCATGACCCCTCCCACACTGAGAACACCTCTCCCATAAGCAGAAATGGTAGAACAGTGGACCGGCCCTATCAACCACCTAAGTTCCTCCCATTAACTTTGTGGGCTGGCAGATGCATCCCTCTGGGTTCAATTTGGGACTGGATTGCTGTACTCAATGTTTACTAAAATGGAAAAACTGTTCCTGTCATCGTTGATGCAACCTGTGTCAAAAGACTGCAAGGGGTTGACATTTCTGACCATGGCCAGAAATACTAGAGGGTTTACTGTATAAAAAAAAAAAGTATTTAAAACCTATATTTATTGGTACTTTTAGTTGCAATCCCTCACCCTCATTATTGCAGGGTAGCTGGAACTAAGATAAAAAGGCTGGGTCAACTAGGAGTGCTCCATTCATTGGCTGGCTCCTGGAATTGAACCTGATGACAATTGGTGAGAGCTACATCCACTCCATTTCCATGCCCCAAATCTGTTACTTTAGATATATAATACTGTACATAAAAGATGAATACTGTACTCACTTGTGTATTTGCTGCTGCTCTTCATACTTCTCTTGAAAATGTGCAACCTTTTCTTGTATCTTAGCTACATTCTTCTCGTGTCCTTCAACTTGCTTTTTAGCATCTTCTTCTGCCTTTTCTATTTGAATGATCTACGGAAATGTTATACATGTTGGTTATATTAAATTTCTAAGGCTTGTTGGTACTTTCCACTTTAATACTTATGTGCATGAGGTTGCCTCCGAGTTGAATAAAATCATCTAGCATTCGCCAAATATAATATTTTAAGTGGTGTCCCAGTAGTGAAGGGATCAATCGATTCTCAGCTCTGATTTATTAATGTGTTCCACTTCTTGAATACTTCTCAGTACAACAATTCCCTACAAATGTACAACTTGATTCTCAAGGTACCAGGTAATGTTTTCTCTTCTTCAGCAAATTAATATTCACATACAGTACTCTTAACGGTATACAATTTCAACAAAACACAACATATTCATAACAGTAACTTTTAATCTACTGTACAATGAAAGGTTGGTTAAGTGAGATAAAGTTTCTAATACCCATGACTCGAGGGAAATATGTTGGACCCACTCACTACTTTAAGTAATTTTCTTCACCCTCAAGTGCCAGGTGAAAAAAAATTCACTACCCCTTACAGACTGCCTCATTTAGAAATTTGAAGAAAAAATCTAATGGAATTGATATACAGTATATCATTCAATTGGATTCAAGTTTTTCATGCTCATAAGTCGTGTGGCAAGAGCAAACGTTTCTTGAATAATCACTAAACTTTTCTTCCATTGTATTACGACGCGGGATATCACAGCATCATGTACCGCGGCGGCAGTTCTTGCATTTGGCCCCGTATTTCACTGGATTTACTCTTATTAATAGTGTTTGCTGATAGAATAGTACTTAACAGTGATTAATCATGACATTGTAGCTAGGTTAGCTCATCATTGTAACCACCAGGCTATTGGGCCAAGCTGTGAGGTGTTATGGTTTTTTCAACTCATTTTTGGGTAGATATACGTAACCTTCTTCATTTATTTTTACTTAGTTATATGCATACTCCTTCCTACATACATATTGTGAAATAAGTACAGCTCCTCCTCGACTTACGACAGGGCTAGGGACCCAAATCCAGGTCGTAAGTCGAAATGGCCGGAAGTCGAAAATGCTTAAATATGTACATAGAAAATCTAAAATGGGTGTCTCTTTTTCTTCTCAGCACCACAAAACTCTCACCTTTAAGCTTGCCAGCCATTTTAAAGTGAATTACAAACGAAAATTTTGTCTGTGTACTGAAGTTGGGACTCGAAAATACGTAATTTGACAAAATTTTTGTGCGACTGAGGCAGGTCGTAGTCGCGGTTGGTCATAAGTGAGTAGGTCGGGGAGGAGCTGTATACAGTATTACACTGCAATTATCGACATCTTTCATGTTGGGTTGGCTGCAAAAGAAAATCTGTAAGTTTGATCTACGTATCAACCCAGCTGGCACTCAAATGCCATTCGCTCTAGACATTAATTTTTACCAGGAAAAAATTGCTGTATTGCAACCCAACCAACTCAACTTTAATAACAAAGCATGGAGTTGACTTGAGGGTACTCAGATTTTTTTCTACATTTTGATACATTTTATTATCTTGTTTTTGATTATTTGTGAGAAGACTTCCCATTATAGTTTATTTTACAATACAGGTAAAAGAAATAATTGTCCTAAGGGAATGTACATTTCTTTATACACAAGTAAAATGTACCCCCCACCTGGTTAGCAAATGGGAAAACAACAGATGAAGGTAAGAATCCTATACAGAGGGCTAAAATGTATTACCTTTCTATGACTTAAAGATTGTCATCATACAGGGTACTGTACTTACCAGCGCCCAAACTAATTCAGCGTAACTCAGTCGCCCTTTTTCTTTTATCAATAAGGGTGACACAGTACTCATACTGGGCACGCTGCTCATCTACTTCCTTCCTTAGTAATGGTAAAAACTGAAATTAGGTTGAAAAGAAGTTAGTAATATTAAAAATCAAGTGCTAAATTTTCTGATAGAATAATAAACACTAATTCACTTAATAAAAGTTAATTTTATAAAACTACACTGACTCCCATTGGACACAGAGCCAATAAAAAAAAAACATTTTAACACAACCATTAATCCATAAAATAATAAAATGTGTCATTTTCATTACTCTGATCATCCGAGAAAGATCTTACAAGATTAGTGACCACCAAAAATTAATCCTGTCAAAGGATTTCCTTAGAATACATATACTTAATGTTTCTCTAATCAGAATTGAAAACAAATAATTGATTGAGTTTACAAGATTAATACCTACAGACAGAATGATTGATCCACCAACCCAAACACCCATACAGTCTGATCATTTTACACCAAGACAAACAGTGAATGTTGTTCATGATGTAACGAGAGGTCAAACCATAATCCTAAAAAAAAAAAAAAACCCATTATGTAATTATAAATCTTACTTCTTTCCGGTCTTCTATAATATCAAGTGAGACCTTAAGTGCCTTTTCTAGCTCATTGTAATCATCATTCATCTGCTGCAGCTGAGTTGCCTTCAGGAAAAATTTGTATAATGCTTGTGGCTCCTGAAACAAAAAAAAGTACAGTGCAACAGAAAACATAGAATTTCACCTGCGGAGTTTAATGACATATACAGTGGGGTATGCTATAACGAATCTAATTGGTTCTAGAACCTTGTTAAGTTATAGGATTAATCCATTCCAGGCCCCCAAATACAACCACTTAACACTGAAAAATATAATATAAAATTGTAAAAAAGTGCATAAATATGCATCTAAACCCCTGAAATAAAGAATATCATTAATATTTGTAATAAAAAAACAATAAATTAGAAAACAAAAATAAATAATATAAATAATGTTTAGTTTGTAGGAGTTTCGTTCGTTATAGCATTCTCAATTTTATAGGTAAAACCGTTCGTTATAGGAATATTCGTAGTAGGATCAGTTCATTATAGCATACCCCACTACCACCAAATGCAAAATACATTTAGCGATTAGGATGAGTTCCTGAAATCTGATTTTTAGTGAAAGGATCACTAAACTAGGGAAAATGAAAAATTATATCTTAAGCAAAGGACATAATTGTGTAGCACAGTCTCAGATTCGCCACCCAGTAACACTCGGAACAGGTGAGGCTGAGCTGTGAGCTGTTATTGTTCACTTCCCACATATAAACATCCATGCTGTTCATTTTTCTTATGTTATACTACAAACAGTACTATAAAATACTGTACTGTAAACAGTATACACTACAATATTTTTATTTTTAAGCAACATTACAATATTGTAATGATGTGCTCTTAGAGCACAGAATCCCCAGTTTCTGGCCCAATTTCCATTCTGGCTATTGGAGAGTTCCAAGGATCAGGGATTCCAACTAATGCAGAGATCACAGTATTAGGAACCCTACTGAAACTTACTGTTGAGTTTAGGAAAGCTCGAGACATATCTTGATTGAGGATAGTTATAGGGTTGTCGACTTGCAAGTTAAAGTGGTCCAGCATTCTTTGTACATTCGTCCTTTTTCATGGATACAACTGTACCTGAAGGATGACATGATTGAACATAAACTACATTTTCAGGACAACCCAAGTCAACATCATTCAATGTACACCCACTAAAAAGTTATTGGCACCGTGTCAAATTGTATCACGCCATAAGGGTGCCGAACAATTTTTTAGTGGGTGTGCAAGTATACATACATGTGTGTGTGTGTACAAGTATCATGTACACCCACTAACAAATTATTCGTCACCCTTATGGCGTGATACAATATGCCACAGTACCGAATAATTTTTTTAGTGGGTGTACCATAGTCCAGAATACTACACAGTGGAGTCGCGATATTTTGCAAAATACAATTTTGCATTCTTAAATTCACGGGTACTTCTATAATCAACTATTTTTTATTATTATTATTCTGGGGAAAAAAAAATCATAATTTGCAGCCAACTGCCACAGTGTTATTTATATAGGAAACCATAAAAGTTGTGGAAATATTATTTCAATGCTCTATTGGGACTTAGAAACAAGGAAAATATAATAAAATTTAATTTAAATACTCTAATGTTAATTAGAAATAAAGAAAATATAAAACTATAAAATAGGAAAAAATTAAATGGGTATGAATTGTGTGACGGAGGTAGGGCAGGTGGCTGTTTAGACTCGAGTGGAAATTGCCCAAGCCACAACCCCTTTATAGCAGTATGCAATTTCACAATAATTCCCATATTATGTAGGTTCATTTGGTTCTGGGTTAATAAAAAATTATAAATTTTCTTAAAAAAATAAAATAATACAGGTTGTACCTCTCTAGTCCGGCAACCTCGGGACCTGACCGGTGCCGGACCATGGAAATTCACCCTTTTCCTGAATAGATAGCGACTTGTGCTTATGCCTGGAAGCACTAGCACCACTTTCTCTGCGTCATGGTCTCTTTGAAGACATATTGAAGGGTTAAATGTCGTATAGTAACTTCTCAAATTCTGCTGAGTTTTAATTTTAACGTATTTTATTGGAACACAAAAATAAATAAATAAAATTTTGGCGAAACTTGAATTTCGAGGGTTTTGAATGACCCGCCAAAGTGCAGGCGACGTGCATAATCATGTAAACAGTGTCATTTCTCTTATGTACAAAAGTCATTATTGTTTATTACTGAATGTCTTTTTATTGAATTAATGTTTATGTGTGCAAAGGCGCAATACAATTCATTAAAAATACGTAGAAAATTAAAACACGAGGAAATGACACAGCATTGTTTCGTTGATTACAAACAGGGCTGTGGAGTGAGGTCGGAGGAAATTTCGACTGTGGAGTCGGTCGATAAAGTCAGACTCCGACTAGGCTATTCTGTTCCTAAGAACAAATATGAACTCCAGGCATATTCATTGCAGTGATTCCACTGATCCACTAATTTTCTTAAATTATTAAAATAATTTATTTCCATTTTATAAGCATTATTATGAATTTATTGTAGCAGGCGCAGTATAGCACTATAATTTTGGGCCGATAGTCTCTTCTTTACCATTTGAAATTTTGAATTATATCGATTTGTTTGGTGAAAAACTGCACAGGGCTCTCAGCTACAAAACAATTAGCTACAACCTGTTTTGGTGAGATTCAGGCAAATTTAATTTAATAACTTAATCATGTAAAAAGGTTTATCAATTTTCATGAGGTAGTATTTTCTTTAATGTACATAAATATATAACTTTACTTTAAAATTTTGGGATCATCATTTAGATCCACATCAGATTATCGACAAACAAAAATTCATATTTTGAGATCGAACTTGATATACAGTACATGTAAATGGTGTTTTCTAGCAGTTAATATCTTGAATTCTTAATAAATTTATTTTTTCTTTTGATTGAAACTTTGAGAATCAAGCCTATCATCTTTTTGTAGTTCTTAAGCCTCGTCCAGTCATTAATAAAGCTGTAGCAGTATAGCCGGTGTTTTACTTTTTACCTATGCAGGTTACAACATACAAATTACAATTGGGATGGTAGAAATAGTTGTTACAAATGGGCAAGAATTAGGAGCATAAAATTTGAGAGTCGAAGGTTTTGTCTTGACTCCACAGCCAGTACCCTATACTGATTTGAACAAATCCATTTTTTGACTGAAAATGAAAAAAAATTATAAGTCTAAAGCCTTAAAGGATTTTTTGGCCAAAAATACGTTTTTCTCTCTGAACTAAAATTTAATGTGCCTAACTATTTAAGTACATCCAGAGAATAATACACAAGCACCAAAATGACCTCGAAAACCCATAGAAAATTGGCGAGTAATTAGCATTACAAAAGTAATTAAATTATTCTAAAAATCATTTGAACATTCTAAAAAGCCATTTAGACAAGTTATAAATCAAGATATCAAATTTTGGTTAACAGATCGCTAAGCAGCACATTCAGGAGTACCTATACTGAAATTTTGAACAAAATCCATTTTTGGCGAAAATGACCAAAAATTTATAAGTGTAAGGATTTTTGGCCAAAAAGAATCGTTTCTCTCTGAACTAAAATTTAATGCCTAACTATTTAAGTACATCAGAATAATAC